TAGATGTATCCATATAGGATTGATGAATTATGAGTAGAATTCCTTTATAATGAAGCTTAGATGATGATCATTAAATCTAGGTCTTTGATAGTAAAGATTATGATAGGAACTGTCGGTAATTGATGTCATTGTTGTGGAAGGGATACTTCCCACATGAATTGCTAATTACGAATAAATGATTGCGAAAGGCTTTCTCACATGAATGATTCTAGGTAGAAAGGATTGCTAAACTAAAATGAATTTAGACTAATAGACTATGATATTGATGAGGCTAGAGGCGATTACCCTTGACCTTCATATGAAAGGATGTGAAGCGATTCCCTTACTCCTTAGAATTGACCAAGAGGGGAGTCCCAATGTTGTTATTATGTTCAATGGACATTAAGTCGAGTACCCATGATCACTATGAAATTATGTGGAGGTGAGTACCTGCATTATATGATGAATGATGTGCAGGTGAGTACCCGTATCATGTGTTGAGGTTGTGGAGGCGAGTACCCGCAATCTAAATGTAAGTAAGGCAAGAGGCGAATCCCCATGTATTCAAAAGTAACTGTAAATAATCAGACTATGATGTAACGAATGAATAATGTCTTTTGTTGCTATAGATGCCTTCCATGAGGTAAGTTTGACTAGAGGCGGATTACCCATGTCTTGACTAAGGATGAATAACTTTGCTTAAGAAGTATTCCTCTCTTATTATGATGTTGATTTATGTCCATTGATTATACTTATGGTTTGTATTGATTACCCATGATATTTATATTGTTTATACTAGCTATCATATTTTGTACGTGATTGTACTAACGCATACTTTGCCTACATTCTTTTGAAATGTAGGATCCACCGACATCGACACTCATTTTCGTTGCTAGGATCATAGTAACTCAAGGAAATGATGATTGGTGAGTACTCATTGGATTCGAGGATGTGATGACCACTTTATTTTATGTCCTTGTTTTATGTTTTGGACTATTGTATGGGCTATGTACCAAGATTGTATTCATGATGTTTAGATGGCTTAAGACAGTGATGTTAGACTTCCGCTTCATTTTATAGAGACTTCGATTGTTTTGTAAAGTTTTTAATTTCCGCTCATTTCTATTACTTTATGTAATGATATGCTAAGTGTCTTGTATGAGGCCTCTCGGGGTCTTATACGCCTTGTTACATATAGGGATACCACAGGGTCGCGACAAACACATCACCTCCCAAAACGTTTTCTCGAATCGCAACCAACAACCTACAACACACCAATTCAAGCATGATTTCAAACAATTTCAACCTACCCATGGTGAATTTACAAGACGGAGGTACTCAAACTTCCCCCAATTAATGTTAATTTAACATAACAATGATTTTTCCCTTAAGAACGACGTCTCTCAATCCATCATCTGAAAAATTCAAGTCATTTGGTAGAATTAGGGTTACTCAGACTTAACCCGTACACTACCCAACATGAAACACCCACAATTTAATCATTTAAGACAAGTAACTTAAACAAGTTGGCCTAAACGATTCATTTAGCATGATCGATTTCAATTTAAAAATATACGAATCAACATGCATACAATCAAAGCACAAAATTTAACTAAGCAATGATAGACCCGCTACACTACCCATTATCATTTCTAGTATAGCATAAAAGTAAACAAAAATTGAGAAACGAACCTCCAATGTAGACAATGAGACAGACGCGGAAAAAAGGAAGGGGGACAGAGGGTTCACAAAAAACTTCAGAAGAAAATCTCACAAAAGTAAAATAAAATTAAAGTCTAATATTTGATTGAAAGAGTAGAGGAATCGAAAATTTCAAATAAAAGAAAAGATTTGAATTTAAAAGGTTAAAAAGGAAGTGACTCTTCAATTCGCGCTTCATTCGGCGGACTCACTAACGTCGCAGACCAACTCGGTGATCTGCAGAATGTGCCTTAGCCTGCCAAAGAGGACAGACAATGCATCCCTTCAATAGTTGCAAAGGGCGAACTCGATCGGGTTCACCGATCCAACTCGGTGACCTCACCCAAACCTGTAGAACATTCCTCATTTTCGATCATCATTTGTGATGAATTTAAGCAATGATAGGAGAAAGTCGGCGACTCGCCGAGAGGTCAAGCCCCTCACCTATTTATTTTCCTTTCTTCCAAAATACGAACTCCAACCTGCGCATCCAACAAATGTTATTCAAATAAGAAAAAGTAAAGATTGGATTGCCTCCTGAGAAGAGCCTTAGTTAATGTCATGGTATTATGTGGACGTGCATTAAATCATCATCCAAATACACCACATGAATCTTAGTCACATTGGGGCATTCTCCAAAGTAAGGCTTCAACCTCTACCCATTCACCGTGAACATTGACATATCTTAATTCACAACTTCTATTGCCCCGTTTGCAAACACCTGTTTCCGTTGAATGGACCTGACCATTTTAAATTGAGTTTCCTTAGAAAGAGTCTAAGACGAAAGTTGAAGAACAATAACGGATCACAAACTTTTAACTCTCGATGAAGGATTTTGGCGTCATGCCATTTCTTTATTTTCTCCTTATAAAGGGCAGCACTCTCATAAGCTCGAAGTTGAAACTCTTCCAAAGCATAGAGTTGGTCAACTCGATCTTTCGATGCATCCTCCCAATTCAAGTTAATGGCCTTCAAAGCCCACAAGGTTTTATTCTCAAGTTCAACCAGTAGTGGATGACAAGATTTACCAATAACCAATTGATATGGGGACATACCAATCAGGGTCTTGAATACAGTTCTATATGCCCCAAGAGTGTCATATAACTTATGGGACCAATTGGTTAAATTTTCATTAACGGTCTTAGCCAAAATTCCTTTGATTTCCCAGTTTGACACCTCCACTTTCCCACTTGTTTGTTGAGGGGTGGCAATATTATGCTTTACTCCATACTTGTTTAATAATGATGCAAACATTCGATTTTAGAAAAGAGATCCCCCATCATTAATGATTGCACATGCAGTTCCAAACGTCGTGAAAATATACCTCTTGAGGAATTGAACCACACTTCTTCCTTCATTGTTGGGTAAGGCCGCCGCCTCTACCATTTAGAGACATAATCAACGGCTACCAAGATGTGTTTGTTCCCATAAGAACTCACAAAAGGCCCCATGAAATAGATTCCCCATTTACCAAACAACTCTACCTCTAAAATAGGAATGAGAGGTAAATTCATGCTTTCCCAATAATAATTCTTCCTTTTGACGTTCCACACACTTTTTAACAATGGAGTTCACATCTTGATACAACGTTGGCCAATAATAACCACTTTGTAGTACCTTATCAGATGTATGTCCTCCACTATGGTGCCCATCAACTGGTGAGGCATGGTAAGCGTCACGAATGGCATCTACTTCAACTTATGCAACACATTGTCTAATCATGTAATCAACAAACTCCCGAAATAGGTAAGGTTCATCCAAAAATTACTTCTTTGAATAAAAAAGGAACCTCTTTTGTTGGTAAAAATTCAGCCCATCGGGAAGAATCCCACACGCCACATAATTTGAAAAATCAACATACCAAGGCAAAGTACAATTCAACACAACCATTACTGACTCATTAGGAAAGGCTTCCTCAATATATTTTTCACCGGAAACAACCACATTCATTTCAACCCTCGACAAGTTGTCCTCCACTTGGTTCTCACACCTCTTTCAATGTTTGACTAAAAAGCCTAACTTTTGCAATAATAATACCCATCGAATCAACCTTGGCTTTTCATCTTTCCTAACCATCAAGTAAATTGTAGCAGCATGGTCGGTGTGTACCACAACCTCGGTCCCCAAAATATAAGCTCTAAGCTTCTCAAAAGCATATACCATGGCTAACAACTCTTGCTCTGTAGCAGAGTAGTTCTTTTGAGCTACATTCATTCTTGCATAATAAACCGGGTGAAACAATTTTCCCTTGGGTTGACCAGAAACATCCTCCAAACCCACATTTCTTGCATCATACATTAGCTCAAATAGAATTCTCCAATCCGGAGTAACAATGATCGTAGTTGAAATGATCTTGTTTTTTAAACACAAATAAGCTTTGACGCAAGTTTCATCAAACTCGAAGACACTTTCCTTTCCAAGTAGCTTGCAAAGAGGATGAGCCACCTTAGAGAAATCTTTTATCAATCTTTGGTAGAGACTCGCATGACCCAAGAAGCTTCTAGCACCTTAAATTAAGATAGAAGGAGGTAACTTGTCGGTAACTTCAACATTAGCTTGATTAAATTGTATGCGTTCTCCCAAAATTTTGTGCTCTAATACAATGCCTTCCTTGACCATGAAATGACATTTCTCCCAATTGAGAACAAGGTTAGTTTTGACACATATTTGCAAGACTCTACCAAGGTTTCTCAAGGCATGCTTCAAATATATCTCTTACAACCGAAAAGTCATCCATGAACACCTACATCGAATCCTCTACCATATTAGCAAAAACACAGAGCATACACAATTGAAACGTTGCCGGTGCAGTACACAATTCGAAGGGCATTCTTTTGAAATCAAACATCACATAGGGACATGTGAAGGTTGTATTTTATTAATCTTTCGGTGCAATGGAGGTTTGATTATAACCAGAGTAACCATCTAAGAAGCAATACCATCCACTACACGTAAGTCTATCGACCATTTGATGCATAAAGGGCATCGGGAAATGATCTTTCTCGGTCTAAGCATTAAAATTACGATAGTCCATACATACATGACAACCAGTAACCAGTCGCATTGGCATAAGCTAACCTCTTTAATTATCGACCATGGTCATACCACCTTTCTTTGGAACGCATTGAATGGGACTAACCTCCTTGCTATCTGTAATAGGGTAAACAACTCCCACATCAAGCCACTTGATAATCTCTTTCTTACTAATTCTTACATTGGAGGAACCTCTTTTGATGCTCAATACTTGACTTACAATCACTAGCCAATTGAATCTTGTGAGTACAAATACCGGGAGGGATTCCCACATTTTCAGAAATCTTCTACCCAATAGCTTTGATAAGCCTTTTCAACACACTAACAAATGCTTGCGCTTGCTTTTCAAGCAAATCCACGACAATAATCATGGGTAAAGTATTACTGTCTTCCAAGAACACATAACGAAGGTGAGGTGGAAGTACCTTCAATTCGAGTTTTGGTGGTTCCTCAATAAATGGCTTTGCGGGAGGACTTTCCCTATTCTTCAAATTGATATCAACTTTCAAAGGGATATTAGAATAACAACCTACACCCGATAGAGCAGCCACTACCTTATCATAATCTTGAATTTCTTCCCCATCATAGTTTAAAAGCACGGCAGCCAAATATTCACCACCATAAGAGACTTCACTCACACTAGCAACCGATTCAACAATCACGTCAATGACCGATATTACATTGAGGTCATTAGGTTGGTTCATAGATTTACAAATATTGAATGTAACTTCCTAACCATTTACCTAAATTTCAGTTCATCAATTTCCATATCAACTAGAGCTTTCTCGGTGGCCAGAAATGGCCTACCAAGAATAATAGGGACCTCAACATCAATCTCGCAATCAAGGATCACAACATAAGCCGAAAATATAAATTTATCTACCTTCAACAAAACATCATAAAGATTGCCAATAGGGCGATTGATAGAGCGGTCGGCCAAGAGAATACGCATAGTGGTAGATTTAGGCTCACTGGCCCAACTTGCTTGAAAATGGCAAAGGGCATTAAGTTTATACTTTCCCCCAAATAACACAGTGCTTTCGTGAATTGGATCATCCCTATAGTGCAAGGCATAGTAAATGCCCCAGGGTCATACTTCTTGACAACCACATTGCTTGACATAATGGCAGTATAACTATGGGATACTTCAATTGTCTCGAAATCCATAGTTCTCTTCCTTGTGACCAAATATTTTATAAAGTTAGCATGACACGGCATTTCTAACAAAGACTCCACTAAAGAGAGCTTAATGGAAAAAGTTTTGAAGACATAAAGAAATTTTTGGAACTTTACGTCTTCATCCCTCTTCTTCGATCTTTGAGGAAGTAGCAGAGTATCTTTTGGCAACAACATTGTCGGTACCAAAGGACGCAGAACCCCCACATTTGACTTTTTAGCATGACAGGAAACAACACTCTTCGGTGCATCATCAACCTCATTGGAGGCTTCATTATTCAACTCTTCAACACATGCATCACTTTCAAAAACAATGTCTTTCCCTTTGCTTGAATTTTCATTTTTAGCAATTGGCACATCACTTTCCATTACCTTACCACTCCGGGGTACGATGGCCATGCATTGCGCATTATCATTATTCATATTGGTCGTGGTATCACTAGGAATACCCCCTTTATGTTTCAGATTCAAGTGAGCAGAAATTTGACCCATTTGGATCTCAGGTTGTTTTATCGACACCGAATGAGAGGTCACGGTTTTATTTAAGGAGGAGAAATCAGCCTTCATCTCCTTGAACACTTTATTCAATCCTTCAACCTTGTTTATGATACGGGCAAGCATATGCTCAACCCAAAAGCTCTCAGGATCGACATTTGGTTCCTTAATTTTGGACGGTCATGAGGAGGCACATAACAATCTCTATCACCTTCCCTTTCTCTCCAACTTGCACCTCTATCACGCTAATGTCATTCCCTATCTCTCCACCACTATCATAATATTTGATCTAATATTGATTCTCGACAGGCCTTGGATAGCCCAGATGAGAACCCACCACTTGGTTCGAAAGGAATATTACCTCTTCATTATACATGGCTTAAAATTGTGCATCTTTCGGGCTCATCTCACTACTAGCACGAACCGCATTCATAGCTTTATGAACAACTCCCATGGCATGTTTCGTCAATAAGTACAATTGGGTCACCATATTCTCCTCGTTTTCCTCACAATTTTGGTTTTTTTCAATTTGTTTCTAAGTCGACCCAATTTTGAGAGGGGATACTTGATCTTCCCTCGTATGCCATAGGTGATTAATCTTGGTGATCTCATCAAGTAAAGTCGGAGCGATGGAAAATGGTTGTCTCATCATTGCACCCTAAATAAGTTGATCAGTGACACATTTATTAATTGTGTCAAGACTCCGGTAGAAATATTGCAAGAGCGCATTATCCGGCAACCCATGAGTAGGACATTGGAGGAGTAACTTTTGAAACCCCAAGAACGTTTTATGAATAAGTTCACCATCAATCCGCTTGAAATTTTGAATGTTGTCCCTCAATTTCTACATTCTCGAGGAAGGCCATAGAACACCTCTGTGAGCTCCTCCAAAGAAGTAATAGAGTCCTTTGGTAGTTCAGCCAACCATTTTGCTGCTTCCCCCACTAGAGAAAAAGGAAACAAATAGATTTAGATTGACTATTGAGAGATATTCATGAAGGAGAATGGACCACACACATCCACAATATTCCAAATGTGATCACAAGGGTTCTGAGCAAGTCCCCCAAAGAAACCCTATATTTGGAGCAGCTGAAGCATAGTTCCGGTCACATGAAAAATAGTGTTTTCCACAGTTGGGGGTAAACGAATAGCACCCGCACTTCCCTTTTGTTTCGTATTAACATTGTTCAAGTCTTTAATGTCGTCATGGGGCCCAAGTTTGCTAATAGTGTTGCTTTCATTCACACTTTTATTTTTACCTATTGAGAGAAAAAAACAAAAACACTAATAAGAAAATTCGACTACAATCAAACTAGTTCAGAACCACTTCTATAAAATAATTCTAAACATCACTCCCCAATAGCGGAGCCATTTTTGATAACGCTCAACTCTACCTCTTCTGATTCAAAGTGTAGGCGGTCGCTAGCAAGTATAAACTTAATGAAGTGTTGGGGTCGAACCTACAAGGAGTGATACGTAAAAAATTGCTAGTACAAAGTATTGAAGTGCTCTAATTTCTTGTAGAACATAAGTAAATAACACGCAACATAATGTAAATAAATAGGTTTCAATTATCAATATCAAGAGAGCTTGGTATCCAATTGTTAACATAGACAAATAGTACGGGATTTGAACAAGAATCGAGGGGACCTTATGAGTGTGTGAGAAATCGAATACTAATTTCACTTAATGGGTAGTTGATAATTACTTGAAGTCGTTGAATCTCAATGGGTAGGATGAACTTTAACTATAACAACATTTTTTCAATCAGCTACTATGTTTTAAGTGAGCTCTTTGAATCACAACAAGCTTTACAAATATAAAATAACACAATTCCTTAAGTTAACCCACTTTATCAAGCTGGAATGTAAAGACATAAGCGAATACAACTATCAATCATTTTCTCTACACTGAGCAACTTTCACAAGCAAGCATCCAGAGCTAAAGCTAGAACTAAATTTGCAATTTCAATTCATAAATGAAACACGAATAAATAACTTAACCCATTTCGAAACAACATTAAATGTAGCAACTAACAATACCCACAAGCTAATTTATGGACTCTATTACATAGTCACACACTTATGGAAAGGTCATTTAGTTAAGCATAACCGAAAGAAAGAAATAGTTGCCAAAAAGATGTTCCATAGGAATGAAAAAATCCCCAATGCTAAATATCAAAAAAAAGACTAAAACCTTAAAACATCGATATCTAAGCTCAAAAACCCTCTCCAAGAATATTCAGTATTGTATAAGTCTGTCAAAATCTCTAAAATCTGTGTAAGACACTTTTCTCTCTTCAAAAATTGATTTATATATTTCTAACAACTTCACAAATTTCCGTACACATTCCCATCGGCGAAGTTTGTCGGGATTACCAAACGACTGGCAATCCGTCGATTAGCACGCCTTCTCGCCACTTGGACTTTTGCACTTAGTTATTCTGTTAATTTAGGTGGTCTAGCTCGGCATTTCATTCCGTGCATTGCCGAAATGCACTTTCATTTACCGAGTTGTCTTAGTTCATGAGCTAACTAGTTGGACATTTTCACTAGCTGGAAGCTCACTCGGAAAATGCTGAGTGGCTTTTGCGAGATCCAATCGTCCTTTTCATTATCTTTTCCAACTTTTATGCTTATTTTCCCAATATAATATCCTTGACTTGTTCTTAACTCATCATTGTTGAAAATAAAGAATTAACATCATTTATGAACACAAAATAGGTATTGAGGACACTAATTCATTAAATAGACCGCGTTAAATGAGTCGAAATTCTCGACTCATCATGCTACAATCTATGGAAGCATAACATGCATGAGGCCAATCCATCACAATAATATCATCAAAATGTAAAATATCAAGCTCTACAATATCAACATGAGTGAATCTATGAAAAATGGAAATAGAAAAATTCCTATAAACTCTTTTAGCAACAATAAAATTACCAAGGGGAGTAGGGACATGAAAGGGATTAGAAAGTATTTTGGGAATAACATAAAAATACATGTCCACATAAGGAGTAACAAACGACAACGTAGCACCCAAATCAAGCAAAGCATACAGGTCAAAATGAAAAACATTAAACATACCAGTCACAATATTTAGAGAATCCTCATAATCATGTTGAGTTTGAAGAACATAGAATTTACATCTATGAGGAGCATCCATACCAGAACTAGTAGGATGAGCTTGCCTACGATCCTCACCCATTTTATTTTACTACGGACAACCCTTAACCATTTTACCAATTTTTCCACAACCAAAGAATGATATGTACTGGCTAAACTTTTTTCCATAATGCTTGTTTCTACACATAGTGAAAGTAGAAATAGAAGATCCACCACCATTTTCTTTTTGAGGCTTAGGTTTAGACACCCTATCCTTATTGAACATTGTTGTCGGAGCATTAGAAGAACCTTGATCGGGAAAAATTTGTCAGAATTGAGGACCTCGTGTCTTATACGCCTTGTTACATCTAGAGGGTATCTCTGGGTCATGACAAACTTGGTATTGGGGCACAAGGATTAGAATGATTCTATGATGATGTCTCATAAGTCACATATAGTAGAATCTTGTTCATTTGTGTGAAGCGCACCACATTTATGAATAAGAAGCTACAAGATGTAGAAAATTTCACTTCTTTTATTACTTTTAAGTCATGCAAAAAAGTTAAACTTTGTAAAGTCTTTCTCATAAACCTTATCTATTGGTCTACCGGATATGACTACTCGAAGGGCTTTCTATAGAAGGAATGAGGAAGATAATGTGAGTCAAGGAGCTCCTCTTCATGCTCCTCAAGCTCTGGTTGATCCTTTAGCCGAGAATGTTACAAATGCAGAGTTTAGGGCGACTTTTCAAGTTTATCCTCAAGCCAATAGAGAGGTGATTTCTCCCGTTAACCCTAATGTGAATTCCATGGTTTCAAGAGTGAGGTGCTTTGGTAGGATGAACCCTCCAAAATTTTATGGCTCCAAAGTTGAGGAAGATCCTCAAGAATTCGTTGATAAGGTTTATAAGGTACTTGCTATTATGGGGGTGACTTCAGTAGAACAGGCAGAGTTAGCCGCTTGCCAATTGAAAGGTGTGTCTCAAGTTTGGTATAATCAATGGAAGGAGGGAAGGTCGGTAGGAGCGGGTCCCACTGAGTGGGAAGTGTTTAAATTGGTGTTTCTTGATAGGTTCATTCCCCTTGAGTTGAGGGAAGCTATGATGCAAGAATTCATTAACCTTCATCAAGGAAGTATGAGTGTGAAGGAATATGCTCTAAATTTCACCTAACTATCCAAGTATTCTCCAACTATGGTGGCGGATTCGAGGGCTAAGATGAATATGTTTGTGATGGGAGTGTCTGACATGGTAGACAAAGAATGACGAATGGCAATGCTTGTCCAAGTTATCGATATTTCACATCTCATGGTGCATGCCCAAAAAATGGAAAAAGAAAAACTTAAAAAAAGAAATAGGGAGGCTAAAAAAGCTAGGATCGGTGATGGGAAGTTCTCCAATACTAGGTCTGAAGGACAAGGTCGACCTAGGTTTAGACAAAGGTTTTCCAACCAAGGTTCCTATAACGCTCCTCCAAGGATCAACAAGGATAGGGGGTCCAACCCCTAAACCTCAAGGAGGTAATGGTAGTTGTTCTGATATGGCTAAGTCTACTTGTGTGAAGTGTGGGAAGAAGCATGTCGGTAAGTGCCTAGCCGGCATGAATGGTTTCTTTTTTGTTGTGGAAAGAGTGGGCACAAAAGGAGGGATTTCCCGGTTCTTATGGCTAAGGAAAGAGACGGAAACCAATCTCCTCCTAGCAGTTCAAACTCCAATGATCCCAAGCAAAACCGCTTCTATGCTCTCCAAAACCGAAATAAACAAGAGAA